GAGACATCTCCGATTATTTCCTGCATAGTAGGATGCACCTATGATCTCTGTCGACACCACCAACACGTGTGAACCCCAAGGCATGACCTGTAGCATGTTGCTCGCCAGCCCCACCGCGGTCAATGATGCAGCGCATGCCATCCCTGAGAGGTCGATGATGCGGAGATCACCTCGCAACTTGTAACGGTTCACAATCATGTCGCTGATGGTTGGTACCGGGCAAAATAAAGTGCAGGTGGTGATAAGAACATCAATCACATCGTGGTTGATGCCTGTCTTGGCCAAGAGGTCATCGATCACTGGGAACATCAATCATCGTGGTTGATGCTTTCATTTGGCCATTCCATTATATTCCACTTGCCTATTTTAACTTGATGATGTATTCTTGCAGAATCATGGGCACGGGCAAACTTATAATGTATTGAGAGAAGACACATTATCCTTTTCATATATTTTTCTGTATCAAGCAGTTTGCTTGCCATTTAATTGTCCTCGTACATTATACATTATTCCATGAAATACACTATTATTCGGTAAATAAGTACATTGTTCATTGAAACTTCTAAAACCATAGAAAAGTAGTGCATCAGGGTAGATTCATCATTCATCTCTAGATCCGCCCCTGTCTTCTAGTAATTATGTTTATTTAGCATTTGTTGGAGACATCGTTGAGTGATGATCCATGTAGTTAGCCCAGGGTCCATCCACATCAGAAGATGGTTGTATACACACCCACCCAGCTGTGTTGCACTCGTATCCTGCACCAAATCCGATCATCCACACCTTGTTGCCTTTCTTCATCTGGCCTTTAGCCTCTATGTATGCCAACTCGTACCACACGGATGCGCTCATTTGGTTTCCAAATTGATGAAACGTCATCCGCGATTGTTCAACATGCTTGTTTGATAGATTGAGTCCATGTTGTACTGAGGTGATAACCGCTGGTCCACCAGCGTGGATGCAGAAATGCTCAAATGCAAGAGAAAAGTTGGGGATGTATGGTCCAACCTTCCACCAGAAGAGCATCTTTTTTGTCACGTAGAAAAACAAAAACTTGAGAAGCTCTGACGCCGGTAAGACAAGAGGCCCAGTTGCCATGATATTGGCCTTGAGTGCGTCTTCAGCGACATTCATGAGCTCTCTAGAGAGAGCGATCCCAAGGTTTCCTTTCTCATCTTCCTCCTGATACACACACCGATAGGCATCATTATTTGCTGCTGTGATCGTTCGTGTAAGATACTGAAGCCGAAACCTAGCCTTGGATCTAGAAGTAGACAAAAGCTTGGCAGCACCGCTCATACGAAACAAGATGTTACCCAACAACATGGAACGATTATCTCCTGCATAGTAGGATGGCCCTATGATCTCCGTCGACACCACCAACACGTGTGAACCCCAAGGCATGACCTGTAGCATGTTGCTCGCGAGCCCCACGGCGGTCAATGATGCAGAGCATGCCATCCCAGAGAGATTGACGATGCGGAGATCATCTCGCAACTTGTAACGGTTCACAATCATGTCGCTGATGGATGGTACCGGGCAAAATAAACTACAGTTGGTGATAAGAACACCAATCGCATTGTTGTTGATGCGTTTCTTGGTTAAAAGGTCATCGATCACTGGGAAGACAATCAACTCTGCTTCGGCGCGTGCTTCATCAAGCCCACAGTATGGCTCAATATAGCCAAACGCAGGTGGCACGTACGTTTGATCGCTCATGTTTGAGCGGTCAAGAATAGCAGCTATGAAGTTGGTGGTAGAATCATCAAGGAAAGGTGAGAGGTGTGCATGCTCGAAGAAGGTTGCCTTTGTGTATCTGAAGTTGGATCTTGGCCGGAAGCAAGCGTAGTCAACAAGGTATACGGTTTTAGGACGGAGTGCAAGGTAGGCGGTAGCCGTGACGATTAGAAGAGCGACAACTAGTAGATGGATAGGACTGGGTTGTGTCACACACTCGTGTGCAGCGGCAAGCCATTGTGCAACTTTTGGGAGGACCGCAGCTGTGAGTGTCATTGTGGTGACGATGATGTTGGTAGCAGGATGGTATAATGAAAGTTAAGCAATTGTTTCCATTTTATAGCAATCTCAGATGCTTGTGATGAGAGCCCAAACTCATGTTGTTGGGTAGTTTGATTAGTGTACGCTTGTGCACGGAACTGTACTGGTGGGAGATTTTCGGAAACGTCATAGCCATGCACTGCTAGAACAAATTAACTTCCAGCAGTATTAGACCGTGCATGCCAACTTCTCAGCCATATTCCTAGCATATTATTCATGTTGCACGTTAGTGCGTAGCCATGTTTTTCACATTACGAGACCTCTTACGGATTATTAGGAAGTAAGTTAGGGCATCTCCGTGCCGCAAATCAGATACACTAAACGTCTGCGAATGTGTTCGTAGACCCAGATACGTGAACTGACCATCCAACCTTATACCTCGAATGTAGCCTTGCGCAATACACAATGATGATTTCTTACTTGAGATAGCTGCAACCTAATTCACGTCCGCGAAATAACTTTGCAAGAGCTGCAACCCATCCGCCAAATAGCTTGTCAGCGTAACCTTTCCACCAAATAACTGATCAATTAACTATTAAATAAAAAACAGTATAACACAGCTAGCTACGAGCCTCCACAGCGATTTAACTGTCTCAGCCATCGGATCTTCGAACATACGATGCAGATCAAAGTTGGGTTGTCCCAGGTCGCCCCCGCGCGTCGTGCACAGTCTCGAGGGCCGCTGCTCCGCGGAACGAGCTCGCGTTTCTCTCCGTTACTGGGCCGTAGAAGGCCCACGTCTTACCATCAGACGCTATCCTCCCGGACGAACTGCCCTAAAAAAAACCAATCCTCCCGAACTAACGGTTTCACTGTCCCTCCGCGATGCGCCGCCGCCGTCGGCGAGCTTCTGTTGTGCGTCTGCCTCCACGTCGGTGCCAACCACCCGCCATGTACTCTTCCTCCGCAGCCCCTTCTTAACTGGCGCCGCCTCTGTGCCTTAACCAGCGGCAGGAGAACCGGCTCACCCTGTTGTTCCCCACAAAAACCTAACAGTTCGCTAGGGCGGCTATTGCATGTGCTAGCGATGGCGAGTGAGTGGTAGAAAGTAGAAACACATGGCCATGTGCGATGGTGCATCGCTGCATATGGTTATGAGCAAGAGGAAAACTGAAATCGGATTTGTTTTTCCCTCTTCAAGCTTCGTTTCACCCAACGCCCTATGTTAATTCTTAGGTTTCAATCTCATACATGCACTATCTTTCTGTTGATTCTTTACTGATTAGGAATTATTTTTTGAGAAATTAAATTTTAGGGTTTACTGTTGATGGTTTTATACTTAATTGGGGAAGAATTGCGCTATCTCATGCCAATGGTTTCAATCGGAAAACTGGCAAATCAAACTGCTGGTGTGCCCCCGTTATCCAACTTTTTCATTGGGGGCCAAGAGTTACTAAGATGAGGTTATTTTTCGTACCTGCAATTTATTCAGTTTATGCTAATTCTGTCTGATGCTGAGGTTTCATACTTTCGTTGGGGGCCAAGAGTTACTAAGATGAGGTTATTTTTCATACGTGCAATTCATTCAGTTTCTGGTAATTCTGTTTGATGCCGAGGTCCAAATTCCTTATCGGTTTGAGATATGGTGTGCTGCTCTCAGATTGCAATTTCCAAACCTAGCTAATTTTGACTAAAAGTAAAGATTATGAAAAATTTACAGGAATGAACAATTCAAGGTGTTTTGATTGCTTGATATATATTTCGTCCACCGAGTTGCAGGTTTGTCCTGTGACACCACGACACCAGTAAAATTGCTTTAAATGATGCTCTTCCAGACCATGTGTTATCTAAGGTAGTACTATCTATATATTTTGACCCTGTCTGGTGTCGGATCAATGAATTTCTTTACTAGAGTTGTCCTCTGGTTGTTGGACGTGTCGCCAGAAGTAATCTGCTATCCTGTGACTAGGAAATTTAAAGGATATGATTTTTTCAAAGAAAAAAATCAGGAAATAAAGTAGAAATAGCATTCGAGGATGAGCGATGAGGTAAATACTACGCTTCATGGCATCCGTAGATATAGTACAATTCAAGTTCTTGCAGCATAGTATGCAGCCCTCTGCCTTCTGTGTGATTCTTTTCCTTATGCTAACACAATTTGTGGACATATAATTATTTCAGCTTCTTGATGGAAGGAATTAATATAGGGTACCCTATCAAACAACGGATGATCTGATACTGCTGTTGAGATAGACTAAGGTGTTTATTTGGTATCATTTCTTCTATTCGGATTCTGTGATGGTGAATGGAGCCCTTGACATGTACCCTGTATTTCATACATTTGCATGGCCACTAATACCGATTATAATTTAAGTGTTCTGCCCACTGCAGCAGTTTTTGCAACAACTTCAGAATGTTCAAAATAATTGCATTAGCTTCGGCAGGGTATAGCAATTATTAGGCCAACTTTATATATTTATATTATCTTCGTTTTTTTCCCTCAGGATAGGGAATCTACTTAGGTTCTCTATCTTCCTAAAAAAATACGTTAGACTTTGAGACGTTCTTTCTTTTCATTTTTAGGTTTTTGTGTGGTATCCGTTTGAAAGGTTGCTTATTACGTGACTAAATATTATTATTATTTAACCAGGGAAAGCCCTCGCCCTCTTCATCGAGTGATGAGGGATGCACAACCTTTCATTATGCAGTTTAGTGTTGAAATGCTAAATCCAATATCCTGTTTCATTTATATACTTCACACCAAAGCTCATAAGTATTCTGTTGATCTTTTGAACATTCTCAGTAATTCTTTCTTATGGATTTGCGACGGATTTTGTAAAATCTCATGAAGCTGACTTGTGTATTATAATTCTAATCTCCATTGATAATTATACCTTCCATTTTTTTCACCAATATTTCTACTGTCTCGATACTCTTTCATCAAGATGGCGGGCGCGGCAAAGCGCGCCTTGACGTTCTAGTCTATAATATAAACGTTGGTCATTAGAAGGCCTTCCACTCTTCCCTCAAATAACTGATCATGTTAACTTTCTATATTTATTTGCAACATGCATGTAACCGATCAATTGTGTGTTAACTTTCTAGTACATGTTTCCCTCAAAAAAAAAAACTTTCTAGTACATGTTTATGAGCTGCAACCCTTCCGCCAAATAGCTTGTGTTAATCGGACGTCACTCTTTCCACCAAATAGTAGCGGCATTCCGCCATCCTGGGTGGATGGAGAGGAGAGAAGCTGTGGCACAGGTACGTGGTGGTTTTTGATCCGCGAGGCGGACATTCAGACTCCTGCAAACCTCTCCGCTTTGTATTCAATTTGCGAGAATTCAAACACGCGGACGTATGTGGCATTGCATTGGATGACAAAAAAGGTTCGAACGCATTGGTCCGGACGTTTGCGAGCGTTTTACGGCACGGCGCATTGGAGATGCCCTTAGACCATAGATATTGATGAGGTTTTAAACGCAGTAACCAACTAATTTGGGCTATCTATTTTTCTCGCATTTTCTACAACTCAGGCATATGTTTCTTTACTTCAAAAGCAAAGCAAACGATTGTTCAACCTCGAATCTTCACGGATAGTATGAAGTCAACATGGTTAGATGTACATGATACTCCCTCTGCAAAGAAATATAAGAGCGTTTAGATCACTAAAATACATGAGAATAAGAATAGTACTCCCTAGTCATACAATATCCCACCCTATATAACATCTTGCAATGTAAGGAGGATTACATAGGCACAGTATTTCAAACAGCTCCCTTGAATATCCAGGTCAGAGTGCGTTAGTTGGTGAGCGATGGACTGCCTGGATGAACTTGGTCCGGAGATTGATAGATGTTCAATTATCCGACCAACCTGATTCGACACATTGGAAGTGTGCTAGAAATGGGGTGTTTACGGTGAAATCTTTCTACATGAATCTGATTAATTCTGGCTCAATCTCGAGATCGTTACGTATTTGGAAGGTTAAGGTTCCCTTGCGTATTAAAATTTTTATGTGGTTCGTCCACAAGCAAGTGATCCTCACCAAAGATAACTTAATTAAGAGGCGGTGGATAGGTAGTGCACGTTGTTGTTTTTCTGATCATGATGAAACAATACAACACTTATTCATAGAGTGCCCACTCGCCAAATTGGTTTGGAGAACGATCCATATAGCTTTTAACATTACTCCTCGAGTTGACATTGAATCGTTGTTTGGAACGTGGTTAGCTGGGGTTGAGCATATTACTGCGACTCATATTCGGATTGGAATATGTGCACTCATGTGGGCTATATGGAATTGCAGGAATGATCTGATTTTTAACAAACAACATACTTTAACTTTCTTGCAGGTCATCTTCAAAGCTACCGCACAGATCCGTACGTGGTCCTTACACACTTCTATGGACTTCAGGGAGCCTTTGATTATTGGGTGCAACCAGTGGGAGATGGTAGCACAACGCATGAGCATGGGAAGGGCGGGGCAGCAACGCCCGCCCAACGCATGAGCACCCTGGGGGACGGGGCAGGTTGCCCACCCGCATGGCGCCGGGTGTACCCCCAGTCCAGGCAAGCACTAGCAACAAGCCCCGAAGAAAAGGAAAAGAGCATCTTGCAACGGATAAAAGGAGCGATGCCGACGTCAAGCGACGATCGTCTGAGGCCTGACCATAATGGCCTCAAGCATGTCCAGGTCCCGCTGGTTTTACTTTAGGGCGCGCTTGGTATAGGTGTAATTCAATACAGAGGTGTAAGATTTACAAGTGTATTTTACTGGGCATGACTGTTTTCCGGCCGCAAACAGGGCCTTAGTGTTTATGTTTGTTTTTTTAGTTAGGCACTTGCTCATCGAGATTGAAATGTGCAATCTCGGGAAATGCACTTTCTACAGTCCAAGTTTGCGCATTTCCGATTTTGCAATTCTAGGCTTAGAATGTGAAATGTGGCCTGCACATTATGAAGCATGAAATTACATGCATTTTTTTGTTGCTCAATTTAGTATTTTGCATATT